CGTGTGCATTCAAACTACATGGCGGAGGTCGCATCGATCGTTTACATGTGACCGAAATAATTCGCTTACGGTGAAACTAAGTTGAATTTTACTTGCATTTGATAACAATTCAACGAATTTAATTTTCGTGCGTTGTTATAATCACTACCGAGTAATAATCAACAATTTTAACAGTTCGAAAACAAGTAAGTTATTCACTTGTGAGCCAAAGCATGGCCGGATTGCGTTACCGTAGCCATGGTACCGTACTTTTTTAGTGCCGTACCATGATCATTTTCTACTATAAAGCAATGCATTAATGTTTGTTTTTATTTGAAACTCCTGTCAGAATATACTTTCCGTTACGAAGAAAATAAAAAAAAATGCATATTACATTAAATGTACGGAGTATTTTTTTTTTCATGTGAACAGTTTTTTTGTGACGTGAGGCTTATCACTCTTCCCGGACATCTAAATTGGAGTTACGCTTATATTCAACAGATTGTACGGTGTATTGTTTGTTTTGTGTGAGTGATGTGGGGAAAAAATGACCACACCCATTTAGTGATTGCAATGTGTCCCTAATATAAACCGCACCCCGAACTTGAGCTGTTGATCCCAATTTTTGATTTGATACATTGTAATATAAACCGCGGTTTATAATAGGATTTTAACGGTATGTGGGCTTTATTTGATTTGAAACTATTCGACCAAACCTTCCATAGGTGTATATTTGGGGTGGTGGGGCTTCGTAAATATGAAAGGGTATACCATGCAATGTATGTCGGTTACATCGCAGCCAGGGTTCTCCACGAGGGGTTTTTACAGGGCGCCGCGCCCTGTTATCTGAAATTGGCGCCCTGTTTAAATTGTCAGCGCCCTGTTATATTTCCTGTGCGCCCTGCATGGTCCCAGACAAAGAATTGTTTACAAACCAGGCCAACACTCATTGTCTTCCGAAGATGATTCATCGTGTTCAGGGTAACTGGTTCATTGTTTTAAGATGCAACTGTGAAAATTCCAGCTTGGTATCGTAGCAGGCCACCGTGAGGTGATAACACCACCAAACAAAAAGTTACAAGTTTTTTCAACACGATTAAAAATGAACATGCGGCCTAGAAAAGTGCA